TAACCACTCCAGGAACTGCACCTCCCGAATGGTATCGACCTCTAGGAGTTTATCGATTTCCTCGTTCACGGCCCGGGCCTGGTGCAGTGCCATGCGCCGCGGCTTCTACTTTATTGGTTTGTGTGTCGGGTCAACATGTAGCTTATGCGTGATTATTTTGAGATCCACCCCCTTCATTTCCATTGCGTTCCAAGCGAACACGTCTGTATTTTACCTCAAAAAGTCGATCATCTCTTCCTGTTCAGCTATAGGCATTGCGGTTCCAATCAGGAAATATCTCTTCTCTTCACCATCCACTAAGAATACCTTTCGGAGGTCTTCTACCGACCGGTCCGTTGGATCAGTCCTGGGGTCATCCACTCCTGGATGCCCGGACTGTGATTACTATTTTTCCAAGATCTCTTCCGGGGCGCATCCCTTCTCTTGGGTGGAAACCCCCGCTGTCACAGCCGAATAAAAACAGTTTTTCGCGGATGCTTGGTCCCCTCGGATCTCCATTATCCCTTCTAGTGTAGCAAATTTCAATTTCTAGTGATAAGTGGAATGCACCGCTCCCAGTGCATGCAACCAAGTTCACCCCATGATTACATTGTAGGGAGAGTCTGTATCAATCACAACAAACTTAGTATTTATGGTGAAGGGACCCGTGATGACTGACAATGTGATTTTGCCTATGGGCAAGACAAATGAGCCGTTAAATCTCACGAGGAGCCTCCTGACCTTAGTGAGGTCCTTGAGGCTAAAGCCCATCCGCTTTAAAGTCTCCGAGTACATCACTTTCGAGGAACTCCCAGAGTCCACCAATACCCTCTTGACGTCGAACTTGCCTATCTTTAGAGTTATGATTAGGGCGTCGTTATGGGGAGTCACCACGCCTGCCAAGTCTGCGTTGGAGAAGGTGATACCTGGCTCGTCGATTCTGGCCCTCTTGCTGGGCGGGTCCCCATCGCTCTCGGCAATCTTTCTTGTAAAGGCTACCCTCTTGAGGTCGGACTCAAACTCCTTCGATGCCGGGCGATCCAGTGAACATACATGGATTACATCTATGACATTGTCTTGCTCCACGGCCGGGGCAAGACCGCGTCTCTCTTCTGACTTGGGTTCGACGTATTCTTTCAAGTAACCGTCCTGCACCAGACCTTCCAAGAAAGACTTTGTATACCCTGTAATTTTCGGTGCGATGGCCGAAATCCCGGTGATAGAAACACTTGACCTTTTGATCACGGGTGGAAGGATCACTTAGCATCCTGGGCGACCACTTGAAGAACGACTCATGCTTAATTTTATGGAGTAACTTGTAGATGGGTTCTTTGAAAACAGTGTGAACACCTTTAAATGACCCCCTGGAGGGGTTACCAGCCCCTTTCAGGAGGTGTACCTCGCTTTTCTCTCTTTTCTCCTAGGTGGGAGAGTTCTGTCTTTGCTGCCCCCCATTTCATCTTCAATCCTGGAGTATTTGTTTATCCGGGCCATCAATTCTCCCATATCTGAGGGAGTCTTCTTAGTCAAGGATCGGTACATGTCCGTGTCCCTCACCAGGCCGAGCCTAAAGGATGCGGCTGCCATGACTTCCAAACACCCTTCTATCTCATTGACCTCCTCCCAGTACCTGATGATGTACTGGTGAAGGGTTTCTTGTTCCCTCCGCTTAAGCGTCAGTAATGACCCAATGTCTTTGGGCCGCTTGCTCCCAGTAATGAATCGAGCTAGAAACTGTCTCATCAACTCCTTCCATGACCCAGTGCTGTTGAGAAGAAGAGTCTTGAACCACTTTATCACAAAATCTCCCAAACTCATGGAGAACACACGGTAGAGGAGTCATTGGTCCGAATGATACAAGAACATCATTTGCTTGTATTGCTTGAGGTGACCTTCGGGATCGGATCGCCCATAATAAGTTTTAAACCTTGGCACGATGAACTTCTTTGGTACTTCCATCTCTCAGATATCCCCGAGTAAAAGGTGATTGCATGGCCTCGTCTTTGGCGTCATCTTGGACGGCCTTGCCCCTTCTCCTGGATTCCAGCCGGGCTCTGAGATCAGTCTCCACCTTGGAAGGATGTCTTCTGAAGTTTTCAAGGTCATTGACGGGGCTCCCCTTCTCCTGGCGTCGTGCAGAAAGGGTTGAATCCTCCTTGGACTCATCTCCCTTCCCCCGCCTTGATAGTCCTCGCCGGAGGTCGTCCCAGGCCTAAGGCCTTGCCTTCTTGGAATGACCGTCGAAGGGGTGATCATTGGCTCTCGGGCGCTTCGGGACCCTGGAACTCTCAACTTTGTTGTTCAAATGATTCCTTAAGTCCTCGATTTCCGCTTCCCGGATGGGGCGTCCGTAGGAACGGAATGAGTCCCTCGATCCTTCGTCGAAAACGACAAATTCGTTGAGGCGACTTAAGACATTCACATTATCTTGTTCTAACTGTCGTAGTCGATCCCCAAACTTTTCTTCAATCACCTTCGCCAGTTGATGAGCCAAGAGGGCAGATCCTCCTGATCTAATGCCCATACTGGTTTGAGGAGTATGCCCCCTTGAATGAATAAAAACGTTCATGTTGTCATCAGCGTGATCCCTCCCCCTAACATGACGAGGAGCTTGTAACTCGAGACTTCTTTGCTGGGGACCTTTCCCTTTCTGTCGAGTATTCACCATGGTTACTGTTCTTTCTAGAGAAAAAACTAGGAAAACTAGTCGTTTCCTACAAACGGCGCCAGATTGTGCGTGCAAGATCTTGCACAATATAAACACTAGAATATATCTCTTCCTTGGTGAACACGTGTCCGTCAATCGGATGGTCGATCTTACTACTTGAACAGGTTGTGAGGGTCGAAGGTGGCCCTAGGTGGATAATGAATCGTTTTTACGAGTCGCCTTAGTGATCCTGGAAGGCTAAAGGAGGATCCTGGAACAAACAAAAACAAGTTAGAAGGGCGCCGGAGTATTTTTCGGCGTATCCCCTCCGACGATTAAGTCAGTTCTTTGAGAGAGGGAAAGAAGAAAACATTGTATGATGGTTGACAAAGGGTTTGTTGCGTACCTCTTTTCTGTGTTTTGATGACTATTTATACCTTAAAAATTCATCATTGCTGACAGCGTAGCTAGTAGGTAATCATTGGAAGTGGGCAGCGTGCACACCAATTTCTATGAGTAATGATCTTATTCTTTACTGCTTGGGACCCCGAGGAACTAATGCTTTCTCCTTGGTCTGCCGAACGTTTAATGATCTTCTCTCGGCGAGGGTGTATTAAATGCCCAGGCTTTGGAACATTTATTACCTTTCACTTCCAAGCTCTTATGCATTAAATGTTGTCTCATCAAGGGAATAGTGCATTAAATATTTGTTCTCCCAAGTCGTGTGTCAGCAAGGGCATTCTGGTCTTTTTGTCTCTGATCTGACACAATACGCCACGTGCTCATTCCCCTTTGGTTAATCCTTCTACTTTCTAGTGTCTCTTGACACCATTTGAGTAAGACGAGGTCATGATGGCTAGTCTAACTTTGCCTAGGCTAGTGATCTGTCCATTAATAGCCCCTGCAGGTGTAAAAACGTCCACGCGGATAGATACCCCTTGGTGCCGAGGAACTAGCATGATTTAGGACCGATGTACCTAAACTGTCGAGGAATACGTGTCGGTCCATGGTGGTTTGGGAATCCTTGATCCCTATGAATAGCATCCTCGGGGCAGGGGAAGTTGGAACCGACGAAGACGTGTCGGTATCATAGCGAGAATCTCCATTAATACCAAATACACGTGTTATCATCTAGGAATGTCTGAAAATATCTCATCACCTATCATTAATGTTCATACTTCCGTCTCATAATTTTGTGGAGACAGACACAACTATCGATGTCTTCGACCCCTTCAGTCGTAACCTTTTTCAGTATCGCAGTATTTCCTATTTTTCTGGGGATCATAGTTGTTCATGAGAAGTGCCCTTTGGTGTGGAAGCAATTGTTACATTGACTGAAGTTTCGAGATCCCATTAGAACGAACATAGAAGCGTAAAAAATGCATTTGTTCAAAAACCTTGCATCTGGTTCGAATATTTACTTGGTTCTCAATCCATTTGATCGTATAATGGGAGAAAGGGTCATATATGATTGAAGTCTATAGAGAGGGGCTATATATTCTGTGATCACTGGGAGCAACAATGTTCAGAGATAGCATATTGTCAGACCAAGTCACAACTCAATACACGAGTCTAGGGTCAAATATGCGTAATCTTACCCGCACATGGAGAGGTCGTTTCCGTTTTCCGAACCCATCATGCCCGAGTGCTCAATCGCATTCAAATAGGCAATTGCTTACATACTTGGAATAAGGGGAAAGAATTAAGTAAGCTAAGAAGTTCCATCAACATGTTTGGGGTGTGTTGGGTGTAGGCATGAGTTAACTAAGTAGTGAGTATTGATTCATCCACTGATGCTTAAAGTATTAATGCTCAATCTAAAGAAAAAGTAAATTAACGGCTAAGAAGGGTTTCAATCCCTTACTCCAGCTCATCTCGGTATCTTTGAATGCATCAAGACTAACTCAGTCAGCTGACATTCGACTTCAAAGATTAGAGCAATTTTCTGTTTCGGAGACTACCACAGCAAAACTCCACAACAGCACACAAGTGTTTCACCTGGAATTTAAATTATTTCTGTCTTATCTTATCTTTAGATATTTCTAGTTGGGACTTGTTTCAGGGAACAACTGACTCTAAGAAGGCCAGAATGATTACACAGACAACTCTCTAAGTCCATTCTATATCCATAATAAAACAGAGACAGCAACTCAACCTATGTTAACTCAAGAACCAAATATTTTTATGAACGGAATGCCACTTTACAAAGGATATCCAATCTCAATTTTCCCTTTCGCTTTTCTGCCTGTTTATTAGGGTTCTCTCCCTATCCAAAAGCAAGGCCGGTAGGCCCTTCGTTTTTTTTTTTTTTTTTTTTTTTTTTTTTTTTTGGGTAGGAGGTAATGATTGAATTTTTTTGAGTAATCCCAAATATGCTCGGGAAACCAACAACCAATAACATAAATCCCACATCTGACACCACACATCCAAAGCCAACAAATGATTTTGGAAACCAAAGTAGAAGTACAAGAAGAAACCATGATCGTTTAGGCAAATCGAAGATGAAAGGAACCTATTACCTTTGTACACCTTTAAACAGCCGACTGAGGTCCATTATAAGCCAATTTCTAAGACCACTTCCAATCCACTAGGCATGTGCACCTCGTCTGGTTGAAGAACCTGAGTTACTTATTCATACATGCAACAAAGAAAAGAAAGCAGACTTGCAGCTTAACAAAACCTTAGTAATTAAATGGCCATCCAGAGTGATTCGTCCCATTGTTCTCTTCATAAGTGGTTGTTGAGCTACTTCCTCCTGTTTCAGGGTATTGACGAGTGTTTTGGTTTGATGAACGAAAAGGCCACAAGAATGAGAATGGATTTCTCCTTTCCTGATTCTGCCCACTGTTCTCCCTGCCACCACTGTTACTACCGCTGTTGCTTCCAGTCCCAGTAGTTGACCTCCTATTCGTACGAGCAGTACTTGAACCTAGTGGAGGCAGCTCAAGGCGACAAACAGGGCATGAGTTGTGCTGAACCAACCAAGGAACAATGCAATCAGAATGATACATGTGGTTACATGGCATCTGCCTTGCTTCAGAGCCCAACTCAAATTTATCTTTACAAACTGGGCAGTGAGAATCGGTGTTAAGATGTCTCTGTGCGATCCTAATAGTAGGCATAGCATCAATTGCGGACCGAGGTGCTGGGGCTGGACCCTGCCTATCATTCATAGTAAGCTGTTCAATCAAATCTTGCAGTCCTGGCCCTGTGAACAACTCGCCAAAGTCAGCGGGCCGCCTCCCAATTCCCGGACTTCCATTGAAAAAGAACTCAAATGCATCATTCTCAGACATCCTGACGGGAGCTTGTCCATGGAATATCAACCACGGACCTGAACCAAAAGCCGTAGTGCGTTCAGGCCCCATACCAGGTCTCGCCCTTATGTCAAAGTTAGGATTTCTTCCCGTCATTCTCTGCCGCATAAAAGCTGCAAATGCATCCATAATCCCAAATCTGGGGTCGGAGAAAGGTTCCATAAATCCAAAATCAGAACCATGTCCCGTGTTATATCCAACCTGTTGCCCAGTGCCCACCACCTCACCGAGTTCTTGTACAAAGCCTCCATTGCAATATGGGCAAATCAAATCACTTCCTCGAGGCCGAACTGCCCGCATGCATTGGTGGCACCAATGCGTATCTCTGCCACTTGACATCCTTTCTTTCTAGTATTTTTCTCAAATCAGTCTCTAAATCTCAAAGCCCAAGCACCTGAATTACTCTGCATCCAAAGGTTTAGATTTAGAGTTCAAAGACTATACAATTGACGAATATAACAAGTTCAAAAACTTCAAAGAATGAAAATACCATAGTTGAAAAGTTAAGCTCAAGGCAAAATCCCCAACAATATTTGACTTTTCATACCTAAAAACGAAAGCTTACTTTAATCTAGTCACACACACAATAAATTGCTTCACAGAGAATAAACAAAAAATGAAAGCACTTTGAGGATACTAGTCAGGTGCAGAAACTCTTCCATACATGACCACCACATATAAATTGATCAAAATATAAACGTGGAAAATTAGTAGACCAAAAATGTGAAATATCTAATGGCAACCTATCATTACAACAGCATCACTAGATCATATGCACTTCAGCAAAAACTTAATCGAAATATAAAGAAAAAAAAAAAAAGCCATCACCTACTTGAAAATGATCTAACTGCAACGCCAAAACGCCACAATAATACTTGTTCAATTAAGTTATATGCTTCAGAATATTCAAGAAAGCGGCCCTTAGTTTTAGGAGTCAATTATAACAATCTACAAGGAAAAAGTACACACTAGCCAGCAAACAAAGCACATGTATGATTAAATAACTGACACTAGTTCATACGAAAGGGGTGCAAGAATTAAACCAAGACCTATATTCACACAGACGCACATACCCACACATAACACTATAAACACTACAATCAAACAATTAGTGCATAATCTATTGATGAAAGAGACATAAACCCAAAAAGGATCGTTCAAAATAATAGCACGAAATTTAATCATTTGTGGAAATAACATCACAGCTTAGATCTAGGTTACAGTCCACCTCTTCCAGAACCCTCGATTAACCGGAATTAAACTGAGTAATAGCCCTTTTAGCGTGCAATCGGATACAGTGGTATCGAATTATCGAAAATTGAATGCAGAAATAAATCTAATTGGGTATGTGCGTGTATGAGTAATATATAACAAAATCAATCAAGCATGTCTGAGATTAAACGAAATTCAGAAATCAATAGAAAACCCCAATTAGAAGAAGCTCGAACGGGTGATGAATTTTGAAGAGTTGGGGGAATCAACATACCTCAGAGTAGAGTTATCGCATTTGACTCAACCCAAAGCCCACAGAGAGAGAGAGAGAGAGAGAGAGAGGGTTGTTGGAAGTCATAGATTAGAAATTCGAGTGCAATAGACTAATAGAGGATTGGAAATATGCGGTCCTCGAAGTCACGAGGAATGACACCAAAAAACAAAAGAAAAAAAGGGAAAAATAATAATAATAAAAAAAAAACAGAATTAGAGTTAACTAGGCAACTTATAAACTGTATCATTTCTATCAATTAAATTTTTAAACTAATATTTTTGTCAACTTAGTACTTTAAATATATAATTTGATTTAATGTGATTCTCCAATCTAAATTTGATATTAGCATAAAAAAATTTCTCTTACAAACTCAGACCTCCTGAGTTTGAATCTTAACAACTCCTTAAAATTAGACAATAAATAATTTATTTTTTATAAATATTTTATTCATGACATGATGATCTGTCTTTGGACTAGACTGTATAGAGGATTAGTCAATATGCGCATTAATTGATTCGAACACTTTAAACAAAAAAAAATCATGTAAATTAAGAATTGTGATAGTTAAAACCGTATGTGTGATATGCACATAAGTCAATCTATTATGATTAATAATGAATTTAGATGAAATGATGACATTGAATGAGATTGTATAATTACCGGATTTCCTTATAACTTGGTGGTTGTGAATCGAAAAAATAAGATTGCATGATTGAGAGGTTAAATTGACATAAGTTAATTTAAACACTAATACAAATGAGATAGTTTATGGGTTAAATGTGCGATTTACTCAAGAAGTTAGGATGAAAATGTCTTGTCGTAAAATATGGGAGGTGAGCTGTTATGCACGGAGTAATTATTCGATGGGTGGGACCGGTCGGCTCATTATTGCATGACGTCAATGATCAAATCAATAAATAAAGAAAATTTGAGAAAATAATATATCATGAGTATAGTCATTTGTTGGGGGTTATGTTATTTTTAAGTTGCATCAAGTAAGAATTTCATTTAATTTACTTGATTTTGTCTAATATCTTGAGGGACTGTTTGGTGATGCACAAATTGGTCTTATGTACTAACTGTTAAATGATTGACAATTAATGCAATAATAAAGTAGAAAGATATAGAACGATTCGATTAACATTACCTATGTTCACTATGAAGTGCTAGGGTCGTCGAGTATCTTATTACATCGAAGAATGTAGGGAGATATAAGTTATGAGAGAAAGAGGAGAGTGATAGTAGATGTGCTCGATTGAGTGTGACGCCCCCCAAATGTTGATGGAGCTTCCAATTTATAGTCGTCTCCTAACAGATTGAGGCGACTTATCAGTAACTAAATAACTAATCTGATGAAGCTGACGCCATTTTCTCAACGGATGAGACAATTACGACACTCCACATACAATCTAGTTGATATATTAAATTGGGGTCACAACAAGGGTTGGGCCCTTGGGCTTGACCCATCAGTTGCCCTCCAATGCCCTGTGTCTAAGGATACTTGGAGAGGAGGGCATTTGGTTTGAGTTTGGATTTCGGCTGAACGCACAACTGAAAAAATTTTGGAAGGCCCACACATATGTTTCTAGGCCTCTCTTGGGCTTTTAATAGTGTCTTATAGGGCTCGTCGAGAGCTTCAATTTAATATATTATGGGCCCTCATTTGGAGAAACGGATCAAAAATTACAGTCAAAACAGTGTCAATTCTTCTTAAACTTGGATTTCTTGGAGACTCCTTTTGATCGGTGACTCATTTCCTTCCTGTAAATACCTTTTGTTTGTGGAACATCATCAACTATATAAACTCCTCCTTTTACTTTCCCTTTTTGATTCTTGAAGAGTCCTAAGTTATAAATTAGGGCTTTTTGTTTTTTCTCTTCATTTCACACAACCTTGAGAGAGAGTCCTCTGTGAGATTTTTCAAGAACTAAGGTAAGGAGTAAAATTCTCGAGTGGAGTGCCCAGATGTTGAATGAAGGAGAAGGGACATGAGGTGGAATGAAGGAGGCGCTAGACGCTGAGACCGAGATGGGCCATACGACCCAAGCTGCTAGGAACAAAGACAAGGTGTCGGATCTGGGCGCCGGTGTGGAGTCCCCTTGGGCGCCATTGGGGGCGCCGTTTGTGCAGGTGGAGCGAGGGAGGAGGCTACCCGATGGATGGGCACCTTTGCTAAGGTGTCCCAGGCACTGAGCGCCACCATTGAGGCATCCCAAGTGTTGGGTGTCGTTGCTGAGGTGACCCAGGCGCTGGGCACCATTATTGATGTGTCCCAGGTGTTGGGTGCCACTGTTGAGACATCCCAGGCGCTGGGCGCCACTATTGTGGCGACCTAGGCACTAGGCAAGTAGCTGTTGGGCAAGGTACCGGTGGACGAGGTGCGTTTAAGAGAGGCATCGAGGGCAGATCGTGATGGATGAGCATTGTTTAGTGACGGGTGTAGGCAGGGGAACCCTCAGGCAGCTTTGATAGATACTGGGCATAATCAGGCAAGCGCACATGCAACGCTGATGGGTACTAGGCACAGTCAAGCAACGTCACATGTAGTTGGTTCTTTGTCTTTGAAAGAGACTGGTAAGGTGGAGATAGACACCGGATATGGATCTCTTGGTAGTGGCTCGAGTAATGCTTCTCGATCTCGCTGTAGCAAACATCGAAGGAAGGTAGCTCTCGATGACGATGGCTTAAAAATAAGTACCATTTCTAGTATTTGCAATACGAACACTGATATTTTGCGAATTGTCTCCGCTTACCACATTCTTCCAACTGCGTTGTGTCGTCAAGTCGAGATGGGCGAGCCTTCTTGTGATGACTCTTTCAGAGACATTACTATCTATGAGGAGGTGCTTGAAGTTGGGCTTAGGTTTCCAATGACTTTTGATATTTGTCGTATTATGCATTGCTTTTCACTGGCGCCATGACGGTTGGGGCCCAATGGTTAGAGAGTTCTACTAGGATTTCTTGTAATATGGAGAAAAGTGCATCATGAGGATGCTTCCCCTGAAGAATTTTGCACAATTTATACTTTGAGTGAGACTCCTGCTCCCAATCGAGGCTTGTTCTACTTTACTAAGAGATAAGGTAAATTGATTACTGGATTGCACTCCAACTGCTATAACTAGAAGTCTCGTTTCATGTTTGTTGGTGGAGATTGGGCTTTAGAGGTTGATAGAGCTTTGGTACCAATAAGATGGGACACTCCTAGAAGAGTTGGTATGTTTACACTTACTCTCTTCCCTTTGCCTTCTTTATAAATATGTAAAGGATCAAGAATGGAAGTTGTAGGTGGTGAGGGCTTACCCTGTAAAAGACTTTGGAACTCTCATGCTCAAAAAGGGTGGAGCTAGAAGCTCTCCTACCATCAGTGTTAGGGCTGGTATGCCTTCCCCGAGACCTGGCAGTTCCTCTTTGAAGAGAAAAAGTACGTTAATTCCTTTGTTTTTCCCTCATTTACTTGGTTTTTATTATAGTAACATTTTTTCTCCTTCTGCAGTGGATAGGATAGTGGTAGAGTCCCGTTATTCCACTAGGAGCACTCCTCCTTCTAAGGTGGAGAAGGTGAGTGATGCTTTGGTAGGCTCCTCTGAGATGACCCTTCCAGTGGTGCCTCCTCGGTCAACGACTCCTTTAGATGTGATCGTCACTCCAGAGACTCTCCTGTCGACCACTCCTCCTGTCCCCCGTTCATCGACTCCTTTTATGGGAACCTCTATAGGAGCATCAGCTTAGTTTGGCTCCATTTTAGGTGATGTGCGAGTCGTCAGGGAACGACTTGAGAGATTTGTGTTCCCGACGAACGTTAATGAGATTAGTGCCTGGGCCGAGGGTATTATTAATACTTTTCTAGAAGGCCTGACTCAGGGAAGGGTCTACTTTCTCCCTTTCTCCAGTCCCTCCTTAGGCATTAACATTCTTTTGCCTTTTTCAGGCTTCGACTGCCTCTATGTGTCTTTTCTCAAGAGCTGTTTATTATGGCCAGCTAAAGCGGAGTCATGAGGCTGTGCAAAAAGAGCTTCTTACTGCTCAAGGGAGGATTGCTAAGCTTGAAGCTACTAATAGGGCTTCCCAAGCTGAGCTTGTGGCGACCCACAAGAGGGCCACTCTCAAAGAAACTATTTACACATGGGGTGAAGCAGAGCTTTTGGTGACCCGCAAGAGGGTGACTAAGCTTGAGATTGAGCTTTTGGCAACCCGTGAGAGGGATGCACTCAGAAAGGCTGAGTTTGTGGTGACCCACGAGAGGGCCATGCTCAGAGAGGCTATCTGCTTAAGAGCGGAGGCAGAGGTGAACGCAGCTCATAAGAGGGCTTCTCGGACTGAGACGAATTTGTTGTTGGCTCGTGAAAGAGTTGTCAAGGCTGAGGGTGATTTAGAGAGCGGCCTTGCAAATTCCTTTATTGATGGTTACGAGGAGCTTTGGAAAAATATTTTCGTGCCATATGAGGCCCCTGATGATGGTGTTGGTAGCTCTGACGATAAAGAGGGTAAGGAGGATGATGTCGACCATGAGAGCAGTTAGAGTGTTGGGGACTTTTGATTTTTTTTAGAAGGGCAGTGTAGCCTCACTTTTGTAAAAGTGGTTTTTTGTCATTGATGCTCCTTTGAAATGGAATACAAAAATTCAATGAGCTTTTGGAGTAAATTTAAAAATTTTCATTGATGACAGCTCATGTTAAGCAATGGTGGATAATAACCCAAAAAAGTTACAATAAAATCAAGTTTCTCAGCTTTACTATTTCTACTCTCCTAAGGTGTCACTGGTAGTACCTCTTCAGATGTTCGGTATTCCAGGGATAGGGTAAGACCTTTCCTTCGGAATTCTAGATTTTGTAGGCGTCTGGCCTCACTACTTCTGTTATGAGGTAAGGTCCCTCTCAGTTTGGTCCAAACTTTCCTTGTCGCGAATCCTTTGTGGCGAGAATCACTTTCTTAAGGACCAAGTCTACTGGTTAGAAGGAATGAGGCTTCACCCTTGAGTTGTGGTATCTTGCCATGTGACGTTTGTACTCTGCATTACGGACCACAATCATTTTTTTTCCCTCTTCTACCAAGTCAAGGTTGA